GTGTTGGGCACCGCAGGCCTGCCTGTCACGGCCGTTCGGCTTCACCCGCTGCGATCCTCTCTAAGGTCTTGACGAAGCGCGTAGCGTAACGGAAATGATCCCAGATCAGCTTTGTACAACCCTTACCGATATTGAAACGCACAGTCTCTGTTTTTCCTTAGTTTGCTGTGTTTCTCTTCTGGCTTTGTGTCCAACTGAGGTCGGGGGATGAAATTTAATAGGAGACCGGTGGTTTTTAAAACTAACAGCGCATACTGAGGTTTTCCTGGCCGGACCTTCCGGATGAACTGCCTTGGACCGGAATCCCAGGACCAAAAGCTGTGAAGGATTTAAACCCAACTGCTGCAGGGTGGAAGTACGGCCAAGAAACATCTGGTGACTTGTGACAGAAACGTTAAAGTAACCAGAGACCGGCAGGGAAACAAAATTCTTCACTGATTTTTGTTGGGTTTTTTTTAACATGCAGGTGCTTCTCAGTACACACAAACATTAGGCGACGTGCAGCGTTGCGTGCCCCCATGGATGGCTTTTCTTCCTTGAAGTTTTTCCGGTGCAATGTCTTGTAGGATAGTAATTTCCAGTATCCCCAGCCGTGTGTCAGTTGGGTGCTGGTGACTTGGACATCCTGGTCCCTCTCGTGCCTGGCGTGGTTTCCGCGTTCTCAGCAGCTGTGGCTTGTGAGCGTCACGATGGTACGAAGAGACTGTAAGTTTGTTGTCTGACCTAGGTAGATGTAAGGATGGCACTGGTCTGCTGGCCGGGCGAGGTGTTTGGAGCTGCAATCCCATTAGTAGGGTCCCTGTAGTAGGTGTGGTGGTGTTGGGTTGACAGTTGGACTTGATGGTCTTGGAGGTCTTTTCCAACCTTAGTGATTCTGTGATTCTATTGAAACTGGCAGATTATGATCAGCAAATTGTACATACTTTACCTAAAGCTGTTAATCGCTCATTGCTGCTCAGTAAGATGCTTCAATTGGAGGACATTAAGAAGATCCTAAGGGGTGTCTGGAGATGACAAATCTCTAAAATAAGGATATCCCTAAAAATCCGTCGGCCGCAAAGTAAGTTAGAAGACGGAAAGAGTTAGGCCTCCTGAACCCCACCGCGGCTCGGTGTACGACACCCAAAATGCGCTGCACGAAGTGAATTCCCAGCCTGAGGCTGGGGCAGGCTCCTCACGG